GAAGGGAGGGAGGGAGGGGGAGGGCATCATGTGGTAGGGATGATAAGGGAAGAATCCGGATTCGGTCTGACGCTTGAATCGCTTGCGGCGGCGGAGGAAGCTGCCGTTGTCGAACATGCCTTCTGCGGCGGGGTCGAGGGTCCAGTAGTTGCCCTTGCCGGGGTTCCCGGGTTCGCGGGGGATCTTCACGAAGCAGTCGTTGAGGGAGAGGTTGTGGCGAATGCTGTTCTGCCAGGCGGGGAAGCGTTCTTTGTAGTAGGGGAAGCGGCTCATGATGAACTCGCAGATCCCGCTGAGGGTCAGCTTCTTCTGGGGGCTCTGGAGGATGGCCATCGTGATCAGGGCGATGTAGGAATACGGGGGCTTCACCGTCGTGGATTTCCCGTCCTTGCCCTCGTCTTTCTTCCCCTTCGGGTTCTGGGTCGCGCCGGACGAGCCGGGGGACTCGTCGTCCGAGACTACGTCGATCGGGACGTCGTCCGAGTCCGAGTCCGAGTCCCGGGACGCGGCGGGGAACTTGCTGAAGTCCAGGGGAGAGGGCTGGGCAGAGATCATGGTCGCTGCGGATTCACCTGTGTTCACGGGACTTGCATCCATGCGCACACCCATTTGTAAGTCTGAGTTCACACGATCTGACTTCCGCGCGGATGGATTCAGTTCCGCACTCGAGATTGAGATGGCACGAGACGGATCACACGAGAGGGAATGGGACGGGTGACCGTGGGTGGCCGCGATCCCGCTCCATCCATGTGCTTATCCCCTCCACCAATCGCGTTCGCGGATGCACCAAGCAGATGGCGCTCCCCGATTGGTCGGGAGGCTCGACGGTGGGCGGGGCTTGGGGGTCGGCCTCCCCTCCGCGCTGTGAGAGCGTGTGTGTGACAGGACACACTGTGTATGTTGTTATTCAAATTGCTTGCCTTGCATGATAAATAAACCGATTTCCCCCTTGCGTTTTACGTGCGAGATCCGCGAAAAAAAAGAGGGATCCGGGGAGCGCTTTCACAATCGGACGCAGCCGGCTCGAGGATTTAGAGTCTATAAATCAGACCTCGAAATCGCGGGGATACACAGTGCCTCCCAGTCGATCGGAGTTTCTCTTTGCCTCCCAGCCGCAACCCGATAGACTTTCGGCGGGTAAGACTTTCGGCGGATAAGACATTCGGCCTTCCACCGCCTCCAACCGACGGAAAGACGGAAATTCCCCGAGAGGAAACGAGAGGAAGTGAGGATCGTCAGAGTGGTCATTAGGGGCACAGATTAGGGGCACAGAGGGGCACAGATGTCCTCAACTGTCGATCCCTTCTCTCACCCAATTCCCTTTTTTATTTCTTTAAAGCCCGAGCAGATTTTTTACGACCGAGCGGCGCGAATCGAACCAGACGCGACTCGCGTCGCTGAAGCGTAAACGTGCAGGGAAAGCGACTGAAATGTATATCATATCATATATATACCATTATTATATTATTATATATTATTACGTACACACGATTATCTCGTCTCGGTCGTTCTTCCTGCGTTACACGGTACTGAAATGATTTAATTCAAGGCGCAGACATTTCGCCGTCTCTCTGGCGTTTTCTCAGCTGGAACTTAACCGAAACGGTAAGACTTGTGATAAATTCGATGAATTTAGTGAAAATTCATTAATATTACCAGCCGCTTCATGGGATCTAAGTTGATCGGGTCCTGCGCTACCGGTAATGAGGGCAATGAGGGCAATGAGGGAAACGGGAACGACGCCGCTGCCCGAACAGTTCGATCGACCGATCAGTCGATTGATGAAATCAGATTCTAATCCATTAATCCAACGATTATCCGGATTAAAGTCGCGGAGGGTCTGAGTCCCCTGTGAGAACCTTGAAGCCGAAATTCGATGAATGTGCCCGTGCCGGTTCTCCTCCTTCCTTTTGTGACCGTTTTGTGACCCTTTTGCGATTTTACCCTCCTTTTTTTTTTTTTACCTTTCTGTGACCATTTCGGGACACTTTCGAAACAATTTTTTTTCTAACCAGTTGGTGACCTTTCCTCGAGCACGAAGCATGATCGCACGCCCGCCTCCCGAGGCACGAAGCACGATCGCACTTGTCTCCCGCAGAGTGCGAGAGAAACGATTCCTCGAGCAGCTTTCGCCAGGAAACGCGAAAGGTACAGTATATAACAAATAAAAATAGATAAAATAATAAATAAATGACGGTAAATGACCGCACACGCTTCGTGCTTGGATGAGACCACCAGAAAATCAAATATAAATATAAATACATAATAACATAATTTATCATTTTAAAAATGGCAGCGCTAATTTTCTCGCCAGAAAGGTCGGAAAGCCATTTCGCACAAAGTCCGCCGAAATCCCGTGGGCGGCACGCGCCGGTGGACGGGGACCGCCCAAGGGTGGGGGAGCCCCACAAGGAGTCCCTTACATGGGGAGGCAAGGACTCGCGGGGGGAGGCAAGGACCAGATGCCGCGGATGAAGAGGCTTCCTTGTTGCACCGCTTGACCCCAATTACGGGACGCACGTGCGGTTTTCTTCCCCCTTTATTTCCACTCTTTTCCGGGTTTCGCTCGGGCGAGAATCCCGCGACTTCTCTGCGAACTCTGAGGAATCGCAGCTGCAACTCACTTTCCGCTTCCGACGGTCGAGCCAAAGCACGCAGCAATATATTTATTTATTCTATACATGTATTTATTTTATTTGCATCCACTTTCACTTTCACTGAAAGGTTTTTCGAGCGAAAGAGAATCTCAGGGACGCGAGAAAAACAAGGGCAAGACAAAAGTGACCTCGAGGCAAGGTCACCGAGCGAGTTTTCCACCACCGACGGCATGGCCCCGGGGCCGGGAAATCGTTTTTCAGTCGAATAATCCAAGCATCCAGTGATATTGCGAGAGACGATCAAAAATATGATATTTTTTATATCCCGATAAGACTTTCCCGTGCAAACATTGAAGAAGAGACAGACAATCCACATTATTAGCCGAATGTTTGCCCTCTCTCATATTGAAAAAGTCTCTGTTTATCGACAATGTTTTGATCTCGAGGATGATGGGATCCCCCCCCCCCCCGCTACTTTACGCAAATACTTACGTGTTTAATTTCCTTCGAGGGCCCCCTGGAAAAGTGGGGCCCGGAGCAACAGCTCCCTTTGCCCCCCTCCCCCTTAATCCGGCCCTGGGTGAATGGTATTGGAAGTGGCCACCACTTGATTTAACCACACAAAGCGGCGTCCCAGCGAGATGTCTCTGTGCAGTGTCGCGTTCAATTCCTTTGGTTCCTTTTGACCTTCCTTTTCGGCTGCTGGCTCTCACCTCGTCTCGATGCCAAGGGACTCCTCCCCCCACCTCTTCGCAGCTCGGCGTCTGGGTTCTCGGCTGGCGTCTCGGCTCTGGCCCCGGTGCAGTCGCACCGCCTGCACATTCAGTAGCTACGCCACTGCTGATATTCTTTTCAACCGTGCGATAAAGCAAATTCAACGAGAGACAGCATTGCCATGGTCACCGTTTCAATTTTTCCATCCGTTTTATTATTATTATTATTATCCCACACTAGAATTTTTATTATAATAATTTTTTCATGACCGAAGATGCATGAAGATGTTAATGCAATAGGCCATGCTCCATTTCCATGAAATAATTTTCGTCCTTCGGCGAGAAGGAAAAAGAGGCACTCGCGAAGCAGGCGAGCCCCGGCACAGCCGCTCCAACATCGGCCGAAAATCCCCAGAGACTGGGGCGGGGCGGGGCGGGGCGGGAGAGGGGGGGGGGGGGGGCATCCCCACTTCCAGAGCTGCCCCATTCTCTGAACAAGTTTTCATAGGGACCTATGAAACATTATGTATTCGCCACTGCCTTCCACACTGACTTCAGCTACCGACGACGATTTATATGCTGTCGGAGAAAATCTAGCAAAGAAAATATGACTCCCACATAATTCAATAGTAAGAAATTGGAGTGGGCCCCGTTTCATTCCTTGCACCAGGGCCCATGCCAACCACGCTACGCCACTGAATATAAGGGTCTGATTTCGACACGTTTTTCCAAGAGATTTCTTCGTGCAAAAAAACACTCGTGAAATTGGGAAATCGGCGAAATCTTTCGAAGAAGGCCTACCTCTAGGAGCTTTCCGCCGGGCTGCTCGAAGCCCAGTGGCGACGCATGGACGAATAATCCGGGGATATCTTCATTATGAACAAAAAATTCATGGAAGAGACAGGCAGCGGATAAAGGGCTGAGCGAGAGGACTCCCCATGTTGGCAGTTCATATCGAACGGAAACCGCGTGAAAGCAGGGCGGCGAAATACTTCGTCGAGCACTCGAGAGTAGAGGCGCATCCGGTACGAAAAGTATCGCTCTGACGATCCTTGATCTGATGATCCTTTCCGCGTTTCAGAACCTTTTCCATTCAAATTGCAGCTAGATGAAAGTGGACCATATGGATTCTCCATCCTTGGCCACTGCGTAAATATAAATCAGCAATGGAAATTTGGATGACGGTGCAGTGCTCTACTAGAGGCAAGAGGGGCCTTATTAAGTAGGAACTACACTAAGTGATCCCCTATGCATTGTCTGAGACCGGACTCCGCTAGTTTGGCGCCGATTGAGGACAAACGCAATGATCCGGACAGATTTCTCGCAGATAATTATTATCATCAAGTGGAAATTCCCGAGTTGCATGGAAAAGTGTCAGCTTAGAATTTCTGAAGTGGCTGGGCCTCACTTACCTCCCCTGACGAACTGAAACTGGTGAGGCCATCGTTGGCATGGTGTGGGAATGAGGAGACGGTGAAAATGCAATGTCCAACCATGCATTTCCCTTTTGCAAAGATTTTTCGCGAGCCGTGGAAGTAAGGCGATGATTCACAATTCTGAAAAACTTCGAAAAACAGCAAGCCAGCCTAGTGGCGTCCGCCCACCTCACCGTCCCGGCCTCAAGAGACGAGAAGGACATCTGCCGGTGATGAAGGGAACTTCGTGGTTATTATTTTCAGACGCTAGAGTACGCTGCAAGCAACATGGCGTCCTCGATGACTTCACGTGCCCGAAAAGGCGGAGAACTTATTAAGTGCAGGTCTGCTTTGCAGGGTTTCGGCCTGTGGTCGACGAGAGAATGATCTCAAGTGAGGCCGCTTCAGAATGGACGTCGGTGCTCCCGCTGAACGCCTGCATCGAGGCGGCGGTGAAAGGAATCGAGTTCGCCGTGTCGGGTGCGCTGGACTCTTTGGACGATGACGTACTACTTCGCTTGTCCAAGTCCATATTGGATATTCATGCGATGGTAGGGGTGCGCACGACTCAATTCCTTTGTTTTCCTGGTGGCGAAGAACTATAGCTTGATGTGGCGCTTGATCATTGCAGTAAATTTATTTCGTTCGCGCAAATGCAAAATTTCATCGCGTCGATTCTTCATAAAATCTATTTAAAGTCAAGGTTGTCAGAATAAAGAACAATCGTTCATACTTCAAACTGAAGGGTTGTGCTGTGCTGTGCCAAAAAGGTGGTTTTTTTTTTGTTTTTTTTTTTTTTTTTAGGGCTGGCTCTTCATTGTAGTGTTTGTGGCCAGAAAGTGAAGCAGGTTTAATGGTGCCAATGTAGACAAGTCTTTTGAGAAATGCTGAAACTGTATAAAACCTTATATGTGAATTTGAATTTTTTTTTACTGAAGTTTGAATGGCTTGCTTTACATACCAATGACACTTAAAAAACTTCAATAAAGCATGCTTATTGTTTTCTTCATGGTAAAGAATAATCATGCACTCAACTGTAATAATTTTCCAGCAACATCAGAGTGTGCTTAATTTTTTTGGACACCAAGAGGTGTGCAGGGTATTCCAAAAGTTTCCAACCCACCTGCACAAAATGTTCCAAAATGCTATGTGGAAAAAAAACATCCTGCTTATAACATGGTCTACATGAAGATCCAGGCCATCTGCTCAGGCCAAGAAAGGCTGTGCTGATGCAGGATGGAGCCTGGTGCCACACAGCTAGCTTTGCATTGTTTGTTGTCAAAGAGACTATGAAGCAAGCTCTAGAAGTTATCACCAAGGAACTGTCCGGATCTCAACACTCAGAACGTCTGCGGCATAGGTTCCAGCAGTGTTCTACATCAGCCCTACCCCATAAGTCGGGTGGAAGTCATTACCAGGGTTCTAATTGGAGGGTGATGAATGTCATTGTTGGTTGAGAGCTTCATGATGCTGAGCCAAGATTCCTGAAGGTCTGTGAAGTTGTTTCAAGTATTGATGCAGAAGTTGGTACCTACAATATTCTAGAACACATGGAAAGTAATTAAATCATTATATTCCAGTCAATTTCACCTCCATCTTAATTCTAGTGGGTTGAAAACTTTTGGAAAACCCTGTGTCAAAGGTTTTATGGAAATAAAACCTTTTTTCATGTCCTTTATCATTTTCTCACTGCATTGGCTAGGGGCAAAAGGATAGCATTCTCTACCATTCCTCCAATAGTTGGATCAGCCAATGATAGCATTCTCATTGATGTCAACTTGGACAAAAAGCATTTTTATCAGTGTTTGAATTTCTACATTAAAACTGAATGGACTGCTTCATGCATTCTTCAGCTACAGGATGATTGGTGACCTTACTACACAGGCCTAACCCTTCCATGCCCTAAATCAAGCCATCTTACCTTCAAATACTGCACACAATACAAATATAGGGGGAAAAAATTGAAGTTTGGCTAAGAAAAAGGCATAGAACTTTAGTTGTGGCATGGCTCAAATCCATGTATCCTGTATCCAATTCCTTCATGTACAATCCATGTATCAGGAAAAAGCCCTCTTTCGGGAAGCACTTGACAGCAAAGGGAAGGCTAATCCTTTTAATAGCCTCATTCATCAACTAAGTTAAAGGAAAGATTCAAGGGAACTGTAGCATGACATGTTCAGAGAAATGTCTCATTTGCAGGGTTGTTAGATTGCCTTTCACCTCCCAGGTACTTCAGGCAAATAATTTTATTGAAGAAAATTAAATCATTCATTTCCAAATATCCAGGAGAGCCCCTTAGTTACAGTGGCTGAGCAACTTGCATTGATGATGAAGATAGGAGAAAGCCAGTAACTGAGCTGTTGGTGTTTCATCTGCACATCTTTGACATTGCTTCTCTTCCCTTGGGGGGGAATCCACAAATTGCCCTTCAGCCTCACTAAGTCAAATAACTTTTCCCCTCTAACCTCTTTGTTGGGAAGCCAAGCCAAAGGGTTATTGCCTCCATTAATCATCGTATTGTTAAGAGTAACTGGTTTTTTTCCTGATACACAGACTATAATCCCTTTAATTTGGAAATTTCCCTTTAGACGAGGACAACAATATCCAATACCAAGGCAGTGGGCCTAAATAAACATTTTTTGATTTTGAAGGGAAGAGATATTGGAGGGGACCTATTGGAAAAACTTCTCCTCATCCTCATGGAAAGAAATGCCAATCTGGAGTCAGAAAAGGATGCTCAATTCTGGAAGAAAACTTGGCAACTCTGTTTGCAACAACGTAAGCCCCATACACCCTTTTCGTAAAAGTTTCTCATTGTTCTTGAGTATGAGTGCTTGGTTCCAGGTCTTCCTCTGACTCCTGATCTGAGATGCAAGATCCTGTGCAGCTTCCCATCCTGTTTCCAGATGGAGCTTCTGCGATGTTTTGCATCAGATAATGCAGAATCACATCTCATACAGGCCTGCAAAATGTTTCCAGAACTGTTCCAGCTGGTGTGTCTCACCTGCGAGGCCTTCATAGTAGATACAAAGGATCCCAAGTGCTGTGTTTTTGTGCAGCGGTTCCTTGCAAACTTCCAGGATGTCTCTCACCTCAATCTTTACCCTCTGAAGGTCCGTCCTTTTGTCATCATGCTGCAAAGCCTGCCATACTTGGACCCAGCTGGTAGTGCATCTTCCATCAGCATGTTCTGTGATATGGCACCTGCACACTTATTTGTGGGCAGTGACTTTGCTTCATGGCTAAGAATAATTTTCTTGCAATATCCTGATGGATATGCACAATGCATTGCCCATGCCAAGTTTGCTTTTGTTCTCAGGGCTCTTCGTGCAGCGTCTCCATCCCACATGAAGAATGAATTATTTCAGTGAAAGAAATAAGAAACCAGGTTTCCTTCCTTAGCAAGTGCCAACTGCTTTTATTATCGTTCTCTCTCCATCTATGATAAGATGTCTTATATACAGTCCAAAGCCATAAATTAACATTCGTTTGTGTGTGTGTGTGTCGTGTGTACATGAAATTGTTCTCTTGCAGAGGAAAAAACCCCAAGTCATTTTCCATCTCCCGATATGCAGAACAAGAAGAAAGAACCTCTCAGGCAAAACACAACACCAGATAGAAGCCATCAGTCATTGTGACCATTTTGCTGGTCTGAAATTTCACAATCTGTGCAAATAATTTGCACAGAGTGGGGTGCATTGCACTCCAGAGAATTTGAGAAGAATGCTACGTTTCATCACGCGCATTCCCAATCCTGCTGTAGACAACAAAAATAAGACCAAAAAGAAAAACAAGAGGAACACACTAATCCTAGCTGGCACAACACAAAAGCCATCCAAGTGCCAAATCTCTCGCCTTTCACCTCTCTGCACATCTCACACGACTGCTCAGAGTACTGCTAGACTGCATTATGGTTGGCTATGGCACAACGGTCCAAACCGATAGTCAGTCGAAAGCTGCCGTGAAACAAATGTGCAAACCCTCATGCCAAACATCATGCTTAAAGTTTCTCTTCTCTGCTTCTGCGTCTCGAGAGCGACTAGAACAAAGATCGTAGAAGCAGATGCATCAAACAAACCTCTTCACCTTAGGATTTTTTTTTTTTAATAATACTTTGTACCAAATACGCAGTATGGGAGGGAAAGAAAAATTCAATATAACAACATCGGGTTGGAATCCCATAAGGACTTGGCTAAGGACTTCTTTCCTGACCAGTTATAAATTAAAACATTATTTAAATTTTTCTTTTACTTTTTCAAACCAGCACCACAGGGAATCACACGGATTTTGTTTCCTTCTATTTGGTTTCGATCGGCAATCCTCATATTGTGCCTCTGGGAGGGTCTGAGGGGAAAACAGAACTATCTCTTTATCACACTTTACCATGTCATGTTGCAAATTGGGAATAAATCTTCAAGAGGAGATACTCAATCGGCACTTTGCTAGCAGAATAGCAGAACTCCATTCCAATGCACTTCTTTTTCTGCCAGAGCAAACCGCAAATTGAGCAATGAATCAACTGACGCCAGGGAATCCTACTGGCGGGAATCCTTTGGTCCTCCAACGAATTTCAGCGAGGGTAAATTTGTCTGGCAATTGGAAAGGTGGTAAAAATGAACACGATAGCAACCCACATGGAAATCTGGTTTTGGCATGTGCTCGAATCTCTCGGCACTAGGATCGAAAACAAGACATGTTCTTTGCCTTTGAAAGTGGATGGAGTGAAATTTTTACTTTCTTCCCCCAGAAGAGAAGTCTATGAGTTTTGAAACCCCAGAAACGCACACATAAGCACACACATACATCATACATACCAACAACAAAGACTTTTGGTTGCAAGTCGAGAGTCTTGTGTCACACATTGCAACACAGCAACAAACGTCTGTTTCTCGAGGAAGATTCTCCTCGTTTCTCTCTCCATGCTCCTCTCATAAAAGACTTTTTAGGAAAATCACAGGATGAACTCTTGTTTACTTGACTTGGTCAAAACTGGAGTTTTTTTGTTATATTGTTTTTGCTTCCTAAAAGTCCACAGAAGGGAGGAGAATGATGATGATGAAGAGACAGGAAGATAACACAGCTCGTTGAATGACACCGGTTGTCGCTCGTGTGTGTGTGGCAGGAGACATTTTCACTGATGGAAATGCTTCCACCAGATTTAAGGGCAAGGGGGTGTAGGGGGGGAGATCTGCGGGAAGGAGACGGAACGACGGTGGGAGATCCGTCGCCACTTCCCCAAGTGGCACATGAAGGGATGGAAATACAGAGGAAAAAAACAAGGAAACACAGAAAGAAGTCACTGGCAGTGTTCACTTTGATGCCTCATCTCTCTCTATCTCCGACCTCTCCCCATCTTATTGACTTGCACTGCATCGTCCACTTGTGATACTTCACAGGCACCTTTCAATGCCAATGAGGGGGAGGATCTGGTCAAAAGCTCGCACACATTTATAGTTTTCCCCATGCAGAAATAAACACCACAATTCCCACACCAGACTCAGCATCAACACTTATAAGGGTAGGTCCATATAATATAATAATTTCTCTCTCTCTCTCTCGCTCATCTCGTCATTTGCCATTCAAGGTCCACTATGATATAATAGATTCTTTCTGTCGGTTCATCAGAAGCAAGTCTGCATAATAATACAAGCGATCACAGATTTTCCAAACCGGAACTCCCCAAAGGACGGGTTTTGACCAGATCCCCCCACCTCCAAAAGGATGAGGATGAGTTTGGACGTTTCTTTTTTCTCCCTTGTGGTTCATTTCGAGGATTCTTGAACAAGTGGAGGGGAAGCGTCGCCCGCCCCACCGCTCTCCATCCCACCGCCTACGCTGCTCCCGCCTTGACTTCCACTGTGATTCCCTTCAACATCGTGCATCTTGTCCACGTACTCGCTGAAGATGTCCCGGAACCGAACCCATGACTTCTCTGGAATGGTTATAGACGACCGGAAGTTCGTCTTCACCTGCCAAAGACCAGCGGAAAGAAGTGCTTTAAAAAAGGGTGCAAAAATCAAGATGCTAACAGCAAGCAATTCCAGAGCTGGAAAGATTGTCCGATGGGAGCTAAGGAGTAAACTGCATTCACTTTGGGCTTGATTAAATTTTGTTTATGTGATTTTGTGATTTTTTTCTACAAGGTAACATGAGATGTTCCTCAGTTCATCACTAAAATGTAATGTTTGTGAGTGAGAATCTTAGCATTTATTCCTGCAATGGAAGATTATTATTTGCTTAAGTCTGAACTAATCATACACTAACTTCACTGAAAGTTGCTATTCCCCAAATACCAACACAAACAGAATCAATTTCAGAAATGCTCTCCATTATGGGGTAGGCAAAAAATTATCTTTTTTCTCTCATGAACAATGACAGGCACATCAAACCAGGGGAATTTTGCAAGCCTTCAAGGAACCTCTTACTTTACTTGGATATAAGATGTACCTTACATTATACTACTCCTGAGCACCTTCATTATCTGTCCCATCCATATAACACTCTTCTAATTCTGTACTTCACTTTCCTTTATATTCCAGGCAGACAGTCCTAATTTCTATGCATATGGATCAAGGCAGTTTGAAATAATTCATTGGTACAATTGTATTTAACTTACACTTAATCATGGGTGATTTTCCTTTGCCTTGAATCAAAATTATAAGATTTGCCCAAGATCTCTCAGATAAGACTCCAATGCCTTCTTTCCCAACAGACAATGGGGCAATGCTGATGTTGGCAAATAAGTTCTTGACCACACTGGCACATCAAATATGCCCTGGAGATTCCTTACCCAGTAAGGGTGAAGCCTAAAATAGGCTAAAGAATCTTTAATTAAAAAATTGCCTAAACCTCACATCCCTATTCATAATTGCTTTCAGAAGACAACCATTTCAGCTCTGATTTCTCCTCAATTTGGAACTCAAACTGAGAACTACAGGGTCATCATAATATATTACAAGAAGAGGGTTAAATTATGACAATAAACCAGGATCTTTGGCAATTTTTCAAATGTCCCAGGTGACATACTTCCTCTTGCAGTTCATACCCCAGTTAACAGTTGGGAGCATATCTGATGCTGAATCATTGAAGGACCAATAAGCAATGCTCAAATAACCTTCCCATGGAACTTCCTGCAGTTTATCATGATATTTTCATTGCTTGGTAGAATTTTTGCTCGTATCACATAAGTTCAATAAAAGAGGCCTCTGCAGTAAAGGATTCAAGCAGGGTTCAATGGGGTTGACCTTGAGACCTCAGCGTTGCAAATGGAATGCTGAAAAAAAATTAAGCATACGAAAGTGATATCAGACTTCCAGAATTCATGGAGTTCATGGAGAATTCATCAGTCTCCAGCTAGGCAAGGCATATCATGGATTCATCCCTGCATGAAATCAGCCAGTTTCATGCTGCTGGTGCTCCACACCACATTAACAATAGCCAATTAGTTAAAACAAATTTTTCTCAGCCTTATAACAACAGAAACAATGCATCAATGATCCAAGCATATGATGCAACCTTTGACTGACATCTCACTTGAAGGTTATTTAAAACCAGCTAAAAACCATCATTCTTGCTTACATAAGTTTTCCCTTCCCCTGTCTCTTTAAAAGCTTGGCTTGTTAAACTGGTAAGTACAACAAATACAGTGTGTTCCATTTAAAACACAACCCAACAACAATCATGTACTATGGTACAAAAATGAAGTCTTGTCTTGTCTTCAAGAAGGTGGATATTTTCAGCATCTGCTGTGAAGCTGTTCTGTATGTCCCTGTAATATTCATCCTAACAAATAAAAACTATCAAACAACTCATTTGTCTTGTTTTATTGCTGCTGTACTTTGGGTTGTGCTTTAAATGGAACACCCTGTAGTTCATCCAATACCACCTCTTGCCAGGAAATGGTGAAATTCTGTTATAAATAAGAGGGAGAGCCTTGAGAAGCACCATTCAACATCTTCAGCAAACTAAAACACAAGATAGTAGGGTAGAACGTTACACAAAAATACTTGACATAAAATAGATAAAATACTGCCTCACTCAATATAACTGCACTTGGAAGCATAAAGATCAAATTTAGACCTGTACTTTCCTTCACCTTCAAGGAGACACTGCATTCATTTGTGACCAGCAGCCTCGCTCAAAAATACCTTTCAAACTTCACCTTTCCTCATCTCACCAGAAATAAGTACCATTAAAAGTTCTGCCAAAGCTGAGAATGGGCAACCCGTTGCCACCACATTCTACACACACCACGGCCTCTCACAACTCCAGCGATTCAACGACAATTGTTACCTCGGAAATCCGCATGTAGATTCCGCGACTGTTCTGCCCGACGTCAAAGTAGAAGTTCTTGTTCTCGACGCGGAGGTGCCGTCCCTCGGGGAGCTCCCCACGGAAACCCCCGTCGTCGGTGCCAAAGTCCACCAGGAGATCCGTCAAGGCATCGCGGAATTCGATCATCCCCTGAGCCGGGATCGCGATCTGAGACCGGGGACCGCCCCGTGCCACCGTCTGGGACACCTGCACACAAAACACGTGGATTCGCATCATTCGGCTCCCCCCGATCCGACCGCGGAGGCATCCCCCGGCGCTTACCCGAAGAAACCGGCCTCTGGAGTTCTCCTTTAAGTCCAGATAGTATCTCCGGTTGTCCTTGATCATCACTTCCGACTTCAACTTCCCATCTTCCGGTAGGTTGTCTGGATTGGGCGGGCCTACACGAGAAAAAAAATATTGGGTTCTTCCTTGCAAACTGCGCTTCAAAATTTAATCTCACCAAAATTACAAGTCGTGTCAAGACCATAATTTCTTACCTAAGGAGGCATAATAATCACTAAATGCTGAAAGATGGTCTCGAAACTCTGCTGAGGTGGATAAGGCCAAGAAAATCTGTGTTCTTCGTCCATCAGCAGCAATCTGCGAAGGAAGAGCGGAGATGGTAATTCATGCATATTTCATTGTAAATTACACATAATTACACTTCATTTTTTTTAATTCAACCCGTGAACAATTTTTCCCTTAAAGATCCTCACCTCTGCCACTTTGATGAAGCGGCCACGACGGTTTTCCTTGACATCCAGGTAGAACCTCTTGGACTGGATCTGGAGAACCTTGGTGGCCAACTCCTTCTCAGCCTGTGGTGGCCCCCCTGGGGATAGTAAACACACGAAACCATTAAAGCCTCATATCAACCGGTTTTAATTCGTAAAAAAAAAGAAAGGAAGGCACGTCAACGGATTAATTCTCAGAGCCTCGTCGGAGCAGGTCCCGATGATTACTGAAGCTGTTGCCCTCCCCTCAAACTGGACGCAACCTAGTACCAGCATTCCTCAAGACGCATCCCCCAGCGAGAACCCCCCCCCCCCTCCTTTCTGAAACCCTGCCATGTTAACGCCCTGAAGAGCGTCGAGATGGTAGCACGGTTGCTACTCCATCCTCCTCTTTCAAGTGTCCTCCCACCCCCACCCCACACCAAGCCGTTCGAATGGGAGCGAGGAGAGTGAAGGATGTGAGACGCGACTGCGGCTGCGCAGCCAGGAGGAACCGAGACGGACCAGACGGTGAACGACCGCACGTGGATATACAGCGCCCCCCCCCCCCTTCCCTTAGCTCATCACGTACACTGAGAGTCCCCCTCCAGTTTTTTCTTCTTGCATTCATTCTACCTAAACTGACCGTCACTTTGTTCTTCTCCCCCCCTTTTTTTCTTCTCTTCACCCCACGAAAAGGTCAGAGATAGAGGCAGGGCTTCGAGGGTGAGAATTGAGACTCCCACCCACGACATTCATTCCCCTCCACACACCGTTCCGGGTCAATCGATGGCGTCGCTCAATGAAACTTTTACCCCCACACCTGATTCCGTTCCGAAATCCTATTTCCCGTCGAAACCTCCCCATCCCAGAATGCTGATCCGAGATACAAAATTCCTTCGCATCGTGGAGCACTTGGACCCAGCCCAGCACCCTCGTGAGGCAAGATACCAACCCCTGATATCACGTTCTCGTCGACATACGAGCACATCCTCGCATGTCAGCAGAATTACTGCCTGGAACCGGACGTACCCCCTCGTTAAGGCATGTAAGGAGACCGGAAGAATACAGTCGGTTGGGCACGATCAAGTACCGTCAAGGTCAAAACGTGATGTCGGGACGACCGAGATCCATCCCACGTGCACGAGATAAGATTCCCCCAACGACCGCAGGAAGCAGAAATTCCATCCCCCCGACACTACCTGGAAATCGATGCAGGTCTTCAACCTCCACCGACATTTCTTTACCGGCAGCGAGTGGAAGCAGACGACGCGAAAGAGAGGAGGCGAGGGAGATCAGCTGATCCCCGAGACCTCCCTCCACCATATCGATCTCCCCCCACGCATGTCTACGGGTCCCGTCCCCCCAACCTCCTCCTGCTCCTCTTCCTCCCCCCTCCCCATCTTTCGAAAATAAAAAGACGAGTCAAGGATACACGACACGCTGGGGCAACCCGACCTTGGTCCTCGTCCGAACTCATGATGCTGCGTCTGAACACACCCACCCACGGGGGGTGGCGGCGGCACCCGTCACCGGCGGAACCATACGCCAAACGCGTCCCTCACTCGCACGTCACCGTCACACTCACGCACGCCCCCCACCACCACCACCACCACCACGACGGCACCCTCCCGACGCAAACCTCGCCATTTCTCTTCTTTCCTACTTTCCACAACCCCCGGTTCCTCCCCGACGAGCCCCTCTCACTCGGCCATGTTTGAGAGAGCGAGTGCGAGAGGGTGAAGAGGAGCGAGGACGAGTGCACCGCGCAGGCTCTTGCCCCCCACTCCTTGTCCCCCCCCCCCCATCTCCTTTATTCCAAAAGCCTTTCAGGTAAGAAGGTCTCCGCCCCATGCCATTCGCACTCCAGGGAACTCCTAACAGGCCTTGGCCTTCTTAAAATCAATGAATGACAGATACGAAACTTCACACACGTAAAAGTAACGAAAATTTTTTCCATTAACGCAAAAACCGAGACGTGCCCTAAATATAAAAAAAAACAGACTCAATCGGGACAAGATGCAATGGCGTCACGAAACCGCGTAGTCAACGCGAAATGCCCGACTATTTATTTTCTCGAGCGAAAAAACGACTTCCGGTCCGTTAAAGCAGCTCAGTTACCGATATTAAATGTTTGTACATAGTACACATACCCGTTTCCATTGACAAACGACACAGATAACACCCGAAGACCTCCCCGCACCAAATGATCACTCTCCCCCACGAGATTCCCCCCTCCCCTCCCGTAACGATGGGTATGATCTCAGGCCACTTCTATTCCAAGAACGAAACGGATAAGATTATCCTTCTTTCCGCTGACGCAATTAAAAACAAAATTTCAGCGAAGGACTGCGATATGGGGGGGACAGACGCCCGATGAGTTGGCCTTTGACCCCGGCGAAGCAGGAAAACCGTCTCCACTTCCCCCGACCAAGGTCTCACGAAGATAAGATAAGACCGAGTTTTATGTCCCCCATCGACTTCCGTCGGGACTACCCTTACATCAGGAAGCTCCAAAAAAAAGAAGAAAAAGCCACTCCAGGCTGAAAAAAATGGAACCCCCTAAAGTGTTCAAATAATAAAGGGACAGATGATGACAGTTACTCCTCTATCCTTTTCCTCCTCCAGCACCAGTACATCGGCTCCACCAGAGGAATGCCGATAGGCATCAGAGGAGAACCGGACGAACCACTTCCCCCCCCCCCTCGATCACGCTAGATAAACACCACCGTGCACGTGAACACCAAGTGCGGAAACGGACATCGCCTACCACACTGCCTCCAACCCGTCCACTCTCCAAAGATCCGTGTCATTCAAACACATCGACTTCTCACCCCCCCCCCCCCCAGAAAATCCCCGGTTTCCTCCGACCCAGACATCACGCACACCCCAACCAGCCAAACGAAGCCCACACGTGGATCCCACAGGCGTCTCCACGCCCCAGGCCATCTTCCAGGGATCGACTGTGGGTCAAGGTCGCTTCCTCGGACTCAGAGCGACCGCCACGCCATCCACCTGCATCACACACTCGAGAATAAAAAAATCACCCCAGGTGTCCGCGCCTGCCTTTTTTCTCCCCCTTTTTCCATCATGATGCGCCTCGAGCTTTACATTCACGAAGGGCCCTCACAACACAATGAAGTCTGGCACCATCGCGACACGACCTCCACCTTCCCCTCGACTCAACTCATCCCCTCCTACAACACCAAGGAATCCTCGGTGCCCCCCCTTCTGCCCTCCCTTGGGAACTCCCTCCCTCCAGGCGTTATCACCAAGCCCGGGCGATTCCCCCGGGTTTCGGGCCGGTCGTAGCAGGTCGAACCGCATTCCTCCGTATGAACCGCGGCCCGTGCGTGTGCTACTTTCCATCTGCTGCGTGCAACATGCCGATCAGTTAGGAGCGAGAAAGTCGTGAGGACGCTCTTTCTCCCGCACAAGTAATCGGATAATCAGACTATTCCTCGACCGAACGATGAAGAAGGCGTACGAACGTCTCGCCGACGACCAGCAAAAAAGGCGACTCCAAAACGATTAATTAAAAAAATATATATTTTGGTTAAAGGATAAACTTCAAGAAAAGAAATTCTCCCGATTCCACGCAAATGCCACATTAAATTTATCACTCACACCTTGGAGATTGACGAGTCAACTAAGCTCTTGAAACAGAGAGATTTGCAACTATCCAGAAACAATGTAAGGAAATATTTCTAACTGTACCAATTTTAATATAAAATCTGGGGGGAAAAGTAAATCGGGGGCAAAACACAATGTTCAACGTAAACCTGCAACGGCTGAGCAAACACCGGGCCTTTCTATTTTTATATACCAGTCATAAAACCGTTAAAGATACCACGCAATACGCCCCCTTCTGGAAAGGGGCTCACGGACTATGCATGAATTCCAGGACGCTAATAAAGACCTGCCCTATGGCCCCGGACGAAGGCAAGGGAAAAATCCCTGAAAAGTTGCTCGAGAAACAAGATAAGTTAGGACAGATTCCAAAAATAACATTGCATGAGACTCCCATCAATGCCAGGAATTAACGCCTGCCTGAGAAAGGAATTTCCCATGATCTCCCCGGACTGGAATTTATTTACTTCTTTTTTTTTCTTATAAGCCTCATCATGTGTCAAGATGGCTAAGATTGACGGCAATGGCAGGTTCCCATACCCAAAGAAACGGGCTATCTCGAAAGACCTATGTCTTTAGGGCTTAAAGCCGGCCCGAGTGCAATTTACGACTGGTCCTTGCCCGTGGCTAGGCCAGTCTGGCCCCATACGCGGGCCCCGTGCTCCTCCAATTCAATGCAACCCCCCTCCCCCCTCCCTGACGGCTTAATCAACAATTTCATCCAACTTTTACGAACATTGTAGCCTGCAGAGGGGGTAACAGAGAATTCAAATTTTTTTTTTCCTCAGACAGTCTGCATAATTTCAAGAGCAATGAACCTTCATGCCCGCGTTTCAACAGAGACTTGATCAACTCAGATCCTTCCGTAGCTGAACATTTCAGTACCAGTAGCTCAAAAGCATCAAGGTGTTACATTTAAGTGTCTGCTAGTCGTCTCTGCAATACCAGAGCCCACTATGATCGAAGAAAAAAGGGGTATGCCACATGCAGAAGAGGCCGTTCCAAAAACCTTTTTAAGGAATTGCACTGGCACTTTCCCAAAAGCGACTTTCTTCCCTATCGTCCCGAGCGAACCCTTTTTTTTCCAACAGAATCCCCACCAAGGAAAAGGGACACAACCGGTTGACCCACCCCTCCCTAAGGCAAGAGGAGGGGGGGGGGGGGGGGGGGGGGGGGAGCCCCCCCCCATCCCAGTGAAGCGAATCCCAAGGGAATCCTACTGAGGGGGGCGGAGGCGGAGGGGGGGAGGAGAGGGAGGGAGGGGGGGGGGGATGGAGAGCTCAACCCGGAAGCAAGGGAGGTCCACCAATGCAGCAGCGTTGCATGACGAGAGACGCAGAGGGCAAAGTCCAGTCAAGGTCTGGTTCTAGGGTGCAGGTATCATTAAGTTCCACAAAAATGCCATGTGACTTGCATAATTACACTGCCCTAATGATAGGTATGAGCCACTTCGATTTTTGGCAGCACAGTCCTCCACCAGAACCCATTTTCCTCGTCAAGGCGGATAGCATTTCCTTTGATTTCTCAAAAAATTAGAACAACTGCCAATAGCTTCATAGGAATTGGCAGTTCCGTTCTACGTAGATTCAGTTCAGACATTGATTTGAAGTTCCAATGGGCTATTTTTTACTTCTGTCACAAAGAAATCCCAACTGGAACTGGAGCTGAACTGCAGCTTTGA